GTATGTGGCTTGAATTTCATTTTTTCTGGACATCTCTGTATTCTCATTGGAATGAGCCAATTCTCCTTAATCCCAGGCAAGCACCAGTTTGTATTCCATTTCTATAAAGTCATTTCAAGAATTTATATAAATGGAATAACACAGAATGTAACTTTTTGGGATTGGGTTTTTCTACTCAGTGTGATTCTCTGGAGATTCATCCAAGTTGGTGCGTGTTCATTCCCTTTTATTGCTGAGTAGTATTCCATGTTATGGATGTGCCACAATTTGTCGAACCATTCACCTGTTGAAGGACAAGTGAGTTGCTTCCAGTTTGGAGCTATATGAATAAGGCTGCTATGAGCATTTGTGTACAGGTTCTTGTCTGAACATACATTTCCATTTCCCTGGTATAAATGCCCAAGAGTACGATTTCTGGATTGTATGCATGTTGCTTTATTTACCTTTCTCACTAGACTATTGACTTTTTGAGGGCAGGTTCTTAGCTCTACTGACATCGGCGACATGTATACTTAGCATGTATCTGACATATGGTAACAATAAAACATGAAAGGACAAAAATAAGAAAGAAAGTAGAGACTAAGAAAAGAAAGGGAAGAAGGAAAGACATCTATCATTTATGTCAGTTGTTAGCTGTTCTACCCCCACGCCTCCCTAAACATATTTTTTAAGTGAATCCAGTGACTCCAGTGCTAGACAGGGCCTGGAACACAGCAGTTGCTCAGTAAATATGTGTCAAATTATGTAATGACTACTCTGGGGCTAGAACAGCACTCCTCTGCTCCCTCCCGCCCTCCCGCCCCCTTGCTTCCCTCAAGCACAAGCGCGGGCACACGCAGACACACGCACGCACGCACTCAGGGGCCGTGATCCCAGGAATACGTTTCTGGAACAAAGCCAGTAACTAACAAATGAGGCGCTGTTGCTTCGCAGCTTAGCTAACAACAACCTTGGCATTGTCTGTGCGACTGCCTAGGGAATCACAAATGAAGGATTTGGGGACCCAGCAGCTTTGTGGACTCAGTCCAATGAGAGTACAGGGTGCACTTGAAATGAAGAATGCCTCTTTGTGACTCGTGAGGCTCCTCTCTGTTCCTCTCTGTGAGGCATGTGTCGGCCATGCCCTGCGAAGCTGTAACATTCAAAAGTGGAAGAGTCAGGCGGAAATAAAAACATTCCACTTCAGCACCTAAACCATGTGCCCTTAATTTGAAATAAATCTGTGACAATTGACAGATACTTCTTTCAGATAATTGTGGAGAAAGGCTTGACTTGTCCTAGTAAATCAGACACAGGCTTCATTATTTTTAGTCTCATTAAAAAAAAAAGTCACCATAGCAACTGTACTATCATGTAGGGCAAATGTTATCTCTTTAAGTCAAAATGAGGAGCTGCCCCACAAATACCCGGGGCTTTGAAAGGAAGAAATGACTTTTCAATAAAATTAATTTCTTCTAAGACTTCACCATTCATCGTCATTTGTAATCCCAGAATTTCCCCCCCTGTCAATAAGGGTTGTTACATGCAACATACAACTTTGTAAAATCCAAGGCTGACCTTTCTTGTATCTGTTTGCAGAAAATTATCAATTTTATTACTTCCTTGAGACACATAAGTTTATTTGTGGCTTTTTTATTCATCCATAGGAGGCATGATGCTGATGAACTTGACGGTTGGACGGAGCAGTGTGTATTCTGAGAGGACAATGAGAAAAACCCAGGAGAGCAAGCATGTCTCTTTGCAGCGCTCAGGAGAACATTGTAAGGATGTAGCTGATGGCTCAGTTCTCTGGGTCCTCGCTCAGAGCCTGTGGACCAGAGAGGGTACGCAGTATGTGTTGTTGGCTCAGTTAGTTGGACTCCATCCTTGGTCAGAACGGAAATTGTTTGGAAGACTCATGAAGATTTATTAATATGTTGAATTGTGGAACTATGGTAAACCTAGGCCCTCAATGTCTGGTTTGGAACTTAACAATTGAATGTAACACTTCAGACATTTTTCCTACTGTGAAGTGTGTTAATTTCAGTGTCAGGTCTGGGACCCTCAGGCTGGCTTGGATCGGCCCACCGGTCTTCTGGTTGCGGAGCGCTGGTGAGGTCTCATTGCCCCCAACGGCTTCCTCTATTCTCACACATATTTTTTCCGCATTTAATACCTTTGATATCAGGGTATACCTAATAATTAGTGGCATAACATATTTTTTAATTGGCAGCTTTTTATTTCTTAGGGGTACACACAGATGATAGGATAAGAAAGAGAAACTACCTTTATTGCCTGTGTATCATGCATCAAGCACCGAGATAAGCAATTTACAGACATTATTTCACAGAGTCCTCCCATGAACCCTGTGCAGGAGGCATTTTCAGTTTTGTGGAAAGCAGAGACTCGGGGGGTTATGAGACTTATCCAAGATCACAAGTTGGCAAGTGTCAGAGTTGAGATTTGAACACAAATCAGGTTGGCTTTATTGTAATAAGAACCTTCGGATTCTCCACCTGACGTTCCCTTAGCTTGTTCTGTTCACAAAATAGTCTGCAAACCTTTACACTCTGGTGCTAGGAAGGAGCTTGTGGTCGCAGGGTCCATTCCATCATGTTACAGAAGAGGAGACTGAGGCCGAGAGAAGGGACTTTCTCCAGGTGGTCACAAAGAAGGTTGTGCACCGAGAATCAGCACGGCTGAGCCGGAGGAGAGTTCCAGGGCCTGCTGCGCCTCTATCCGCTGCATCCAGGGAGCCCTGCGGGCCCTCCCTGCCGGGGCTGCCCTCCCTGCACAGGCCTCAGCTGCCCGTCATCTCTCGGGGGCACCAGCACTGAGCTCATTCCCCCTTTGTTTCGTGTTCCTTCAGACCTAAGGTGGCTCCTTACCCAAGCTCCTCTTCCCTCTCCCTACCCCAGCTGAACCTGTGTCTATGACTCATCCTCCAAGTGACAAGGAATCTATCTGAAGATGATAATGGAACAGGATGAGCGAGATTCTCCAGGGCCTGAGCTGGGAGGCATTGCCCACGTCTTTGTTACCTCAAGAGAGTGTCTTTAATGGGAAGAATGTCGGCGGAGATGGAAGGGAAAGTGACAGATGTACAGACTACAGCCTCTGACTCACACAGCAGCCTGTCGCTCTGCCCCTGGGGAGGCAAGTGGCATGGCGCAGTGTGAGGGCTGGCATCCAGGCACTGTTCCCTCCCACACCCACGAGAGGCTGGTGGGCCGCTGCCCTCCACACCGGGAATGGATGCAGAGGCCTTGTCAACAGTGTGCCGGGCAGCACCCTTCAGCCCGCTGCGGGTGGTGATGGGGCTGAAACACCCTCTCTGCCACCCCAGAGTCATTGCAGGCAGATGACTCAATAACTTCTCCCAGTGGAAAAAGGAGAACATAACCGCTGACTTAGACTGGTTGTAAGATGTAGCACGTGGGAGCACAGCAGATTCCCGGAGCCTGGTGCACAGTAGGTGCTCAGTGTCTAGAGATTGTCATTATTATCGGGTTGATGCTGATGGGAGGGGGGCAGGATGTCACAACTGCACAATAAGGAAGTTAGGGGTTGTAGAAGGTAGGTACTCTTGGCCTTCTTTTGTCCTCTTTCTTTAGCTGGTGACAGTGCAGCTGTGAGTCCGGATGTTTCGGGTCTACTATGAAAGGGCTGAACAGGCTTCCTCCGAAACCCAGCTCAGGATGGCAGCTCACTGCTGACCGGCTGGCTGTAGACCCAGCAAGCTGGGACGATCACACCCGGTCCGCAGTCTGTCCCCATCACACCCCAGCTCTGGTTGTGCTAGTCACAGGCTGAAGGGCTGAAGAAAGTCCTTTATTCCAAGCCTCATTCGGTTTTCTATAAAATACGTATAATAACCTGATTCTAGAAATAGGCACATTGATGATACAATGATGGAGTCACTGAAGGTTATTATATGTTTTGAAAAAAATCAAACCTTTAATGAGTAGCATGTTTATTTAAAGAACACCCTCACCCCCGCCTTTTTTTTTTTTTTTTGAAGAAAATGGGACTGTTTTAACTTCTTTATTTAGTATCATTTATCCACTTAATGTACTTAAATGTCTCTGGTTATGTCATTATTTGCAATTATATGTTAACTCCAAAGGGCAAGGATGATGTCTGCTTCAGTTATTTTTCAGAGCCCCCAGAATAATGCCATGAACATGAGGTTTCAGCCCATTTGTATGCTGCTGGTGCAGAGTGGAGACAGACCATGTCCCCTATTTATAAAGAATACTATTTCTTTCTTAGCTTAGACTTTTAGGAACCAGAAATCATATCATTACATGTAGCACAAATGTATACTTATTGGCTTATTTTAATTTTAAAGTATCAATATTCATTGATGTTCTATTACAAAAGGCTGCTCAGCGTAGAAAAGGTGAACAGTACTGAAAACCACCTAGAAGACATGACATGTCACCATTAATTCCTGTGCTGGAAGATAAATTACTTTGAACATCTTGGTATTTTTTTTTTATATGATTCACTTTCAAGTGCTATTAATATTGTCTAATCCTTAACTAATTTTAGGACTTTCAAAATGATCCTTCTCACTGTGATTTCCATCTTTTCAGTTACCGATCCTGTGTTCTTTCCAGGAAGGATGATTGTTTTGTTATTTTCCATAGTATTGAAATGTGTTGTGAGTTGAGGGGAAGAGCTCGCCATGAGCTTCTGGGACGGGCTCCTGCTTCGAGGGGAAGCTGTGGTTACCACGAAGGAAAACTTAATCCCCTTGCCCCAGTGCATTCGTCCTCCCGAGAGCCAGGTGAGCTACCTTGGACTGTTTCTCCGGGATTATGTCACCCACCAAGGTAACTTTCTGTTTCAGTAGGTGATGTTAAGAAACAAAACAACACCCTTTAAGTGAATCAGTTTGGGAAAATAGAGACCTGCTTTATATCCCAGGTCTTTGATGTGTCGAGAGGTTCCTGGAAGGATCTGCCTCTCTTTTGTTTTGATTGACAAGACCTTTCCTATATATTTGAGCAGTCAAGCAGCCCAGTAACAGAGGGTACAGTCCTTCACCCAGAGCCAGCTTCGACCACTCACTGTGAGATCTTGGGTGCACGTGTGAGCTCTAAGGGAAGAGTTAGCTCCAGCAAGATCAGGTAAGTGCGTCCCCGTATTCCTAGCTTCACTCCTCCAGAGGGGTCCAAAGGGCCCGGGCAAGGTGAGAGAGCAGAAGTAGGAGCTGGGAGATCAGGCTCGGAAATAAATAAATTTGCAGCCAGTTCAGCCATAATGAACTGGGGGTGTTCCATAAATGCTGTGCCCACTCTCACTTTAACATCTAGTATGTTCTGTCCACCTGGCCGAGCATGGAGGGAGTGACTCTGGCTCCTGACAAAGCAAAGCAGTGACCAGGATGCAGAGAGGATAAGACTTTACTAGAATGGGACTATGTTTTAAATGCCTCCGATGCCTTCCATCGTTTGGATTTGAGTGGAATCACAACCAGGAGCCATCACAGCAGAAGCATTCGGCAGCGAGTGGGACGCATCTGTAGAGATGGCCACCAAGTCAGGTGCCAGGTTTCAGAATACCTGTGCATGTCCACTTTGTGGAGGGCTGGTAGTAACAATACAGATGGGCGCACACTTTTCATTTCTCTGTCTCCCACCCTGATTCCCCAGCCACGACACGGGGAATAGAGTTTTGAGCAAACATGTAGCGTGCCAGTGGATCTGAATAAAAATAGTTTGTGTGTATTCATGCATTATGTCAGGATATGCATTATTTTTGGTGTGACATATAGTATTTTGTGTTCATCTTGAAGAGAACATTGGAAGAAACCTTTTTTTAAAACACCCAAGTCAAGTCCAACAGTTGGGCCACAATAAGGAAAAGCCTGAAGATCCCTTTGGAGGGTTGAGTGTGTAAGGAGTACCGTGGGTCCATGGAATCCACAGTGGGGTCAGTCGGAGGAACTTTGGGCCCCTGTGTTGGAGTTTGTGGGCACCTGCAATTTCCTGACGTATTTCTTCTGAAATGCTGAGAGCAAGGCCCCTGTGGTACAGCCTTGTTGGCAGCCCCGTGGAGGGCAGCTGCATCTGCTGATAAACTCTCCTGTCCCTTTCAGAGGGACAGCATGAAGCTGGCCTGCCTGTGCCTTGGCCCCATGGCCCTCCTCCTGCTGGCTGGCTGCTGCTGCGTTCTCAGCACCCCCGGCGGGAACCTGCGTACCTTTGTGGGCTGTGCCGTGAGAGAGTTTACTTTCCTGGCCAAGAAGCCGGGCTGCAGGGGCCTTCGGATCACCACGGATGCCTGCTGGGGCCGCTGTGAAACCTGGGAGGTGAGTCCCCACACAGGCCCTGGGCTGGTGCCTTCAGGGCTGGCCGCTTGACTTGATGCCTAAGTGTTCACTTTTTTTTAAGGGACTATTAATTTTTAAAAATATGTTTTTATTGATTTTTTTTAGAGAGAAAGGGAGAAATAGAAACATCCATGTAAGAGAGAACATTGATCAGCTGCCTCCTACACTCCTACTGGGGATTGAGCCCGCAACCAGGGCATGTACCCTGACCAGGAATCGGACCGGGACCTCTCAGTCCATGGGACAACGCTCAATCCACTGAGCCACACCCGCTGGGCTAAGTGTTCACTTAAAAAAAATTTTTTTTTCTTTATTGATTTGAGAGAGAGAGGAAGGAAGAGGGAGAGAGAGATAGAAACATCAATGAGAGAGAACACGGACTGGCCGCCTCCTGCATGCCCCCCACTGGGGAACGGGCCCACAACCTGGGCATGTGCCTGGACCAGGAATCAAACTGGACCTCTCGGTGCATGGCTTGATGCTCAACCACTGAGCCGCACCAGCCGGGCTAAGTCTTCACTTTTTTGATGAAATGAGATAAAGCTGGGGCATCTACCTTTTCCTATGGATTTTTAAAAACAACAATGATATGTCATGCTCCAAAAAATTCTGAAAGAAACATGATCTTGCCCCTCTCACAATGCATTGATAAAATTAATAATTTTACTTGGTGGTATCTGTATTTGGGACTCATCTCTGGGAGGTCAGGATGGGCTATTCTTTTACCTACTTTACAGAGGACATGGAGGGATTCAAGGGGCAAGTGGCTGGGGAGCCCTATTTACTCCCGCAGTGTGAAGGGTGCTCAGTTCCTGGTTCGAGCATTAACCAGAACTCTTCCCTGTGTTCTTCCTGCTGGGATCAAGCCAGCCAAGGGGGAGGCCCTGAGCCCTGCAGCAGGCGAGGTGAGCCCTCAGCCCCTCCTTCATGCCTCTCCCACAGCTCTGCCCCTCCCCCCAAATTCCTGGAGGCCTCAGGGATTACCACTGACAGAACCATTAATTCCCTGTATATTGAATTATATTCAGCCTTTTTAGAGGCATTGCAATTTTAATGGGGGACAAAAATCCCAAAGTTAGAACCCTATGGGGCTGTGATGGGGTGTGTTTGCTGGGTGAGAGGAGAGAGGGCCATTCAGCACCCCATCAAATCACAACATCAGTGACTGTTGCCTCTTCCCACTGAGGTCTGAACTGGTTACTAATGAAGTACAGCTCTGATCTTGTCATCGGCTCAAACGCTGTTAATGACCATCCACTACCACCAACTCAATAACCAGCTTTCAAGGTCCTTAGCACTGTGCAATCTGTTTGCTCAGTGACTATGCATATTCTGACACTGGCCTTGTCAGATTGATTTTAAAGGCTTATTGAACACCCTTCATAAAATCTCACTTTTGGTTCTTTTTGGTTCCTTTCTCATTTCCATCTGTCATTATCAACTTTATTCTCTGATGCCTGTCTCCAGAGCCAACTCCTTTCCCAATGGGCTTTCTGCTCCCCGGTCAGCCCATGACTGCACCGCACCTTGTGCCTTAGTTCCTCGCCCCCATGCAACTCTGGATTGTATGTGTTTTGAGGGCAGAGATTAATTCTTGCACCTTTTACAGCTCTTGTCAAAGTCATGTATGAACAAGGCATTTATAAATACCGGTTGAGTTATATGAAATTGACCTCTACCTGGAGTGATGATGTTTATCTTCTGGCTTAATTGCCGCCAATTTAGAAGCCCTCGAGCACCGTGCAAGGACACTGCCTTGGGAAAGAGACCCTTCTATTCAGGGACTCAGAGAGCAATCTGCTGTCACTGGGATCAAATTATGGCCCAATGGATGGACTGGGATATGCTGATGAAACCTCCAAATTAAATGAAACTGCTCCACCAAATTAGCTGTAGTTTTGCATCACTCAGGGGCTTGAGACCTAGTAGCCAGATGACAGAGGAGTTGGTAAGGGTACTGTGCCTGGACAGCACACGTTCTCAGGGAACTTCGACATCTTCCAATATTCAGAGCTTGGCCTGGTGGTGCCCCCTCTGCCTGAGTCCATTTTGGGGCTATTTGGAGCTCTTTCTGGGCCCCAGTCTCAACTCACTATTTCTCTAAATCCCATCTTCTCTTCTCCTTACTCACTGGTAAATGTCTTTAATTGGGTCATGGTCACCACAGGAGGTCAGGGACTGTGTTCTCACTGGTGAAACGGAAGCCCCGAGACCATTAGAGAACAAGATTCTCCTTAGTGTCAGCTAGAGGGAGAGATAGAAACATGGATGAGAGAGAACATCGATGGGCTGCCTTCTGCATGCCCCCCATTGGGGATTGGGCCCACAGCCTGGGAAAAGGGAGGTTACTTATAGGAAATAAAGAAAAGAGTGAGATTTATTTTCCCAGCAATCTGAACATCTCTGAGCTATAAAGCACTTATTTTTGGTGACTTAGCTGGGGAGCATGTCTGAAAATAGGATGTTCATAATGAGAAAGTGCCTGCATTTACTCTGGTGGTCGGACGGCTGCTGTCCAGAGCCTCTGCACAGGGCCCACGTGGAGGGTTGCCAGATTTAGAAAAAACAAAACACAAACAGAAAACCACAACAGAACAAAATCATGATGGATTCAACTTGAATGTCAGATAAACAACCTTTTTTTTTTTGGATACAATATTTGGGACAGACTTATACTGGAAGAATTTGTTCATTTGAAATTCAGATATTCCTGGGTGTCCTGTATTTCATCGGGCAGCCCTGCCTGGGACCCCAGCTCACTGAGGGAAAGAGGACATGAAGCAAACGGGAGGGCTGAGATGCTACCCGAGGAGAAGGAGAAAGTAGTTGATGCACGGTCCTCGTGCAAGGCAAAGCCTTTGTTTTCCTTACATTCATGGAAGAACTGCATCTGGGGCCTCCCGGATGCATATTGTTTGACATATTGTATACATATGTTATACATATTGTTTTACTTGCCTAGGACAAGTGAAGGGACTGTCCTTTGAAATCTTGTAAGTTATTTTATTCTTACTTCCTTACTTTTATAATCACTCTAAGAACAATAGACTACATTTACTGAACACTTACTTGGTGTGAGGCATTGAGCATTATGGACATAGCTCATTTTACCTTATCGCCACAATAATGCCGTGAGCTAGATGTTGTGTTTGACAGATGGGGAAACTGAGGCGTCGCAAAGGTAAGTGGATTTTCCAAGGTCTCCAGCCAGTGGCAGAACAGGGACTCAGTAGGTCTGACTGCAGGGTTCGAGATTTTAACTTCTCCTTTGTGCTCATTTCCTGATCAATATGCTCTGTTTACCAAAATTAACTTTGAATTCTGCTTTTATAAGAGGCGAAGGAAGGAAGGGAGTCCCCTGATTATTGGAACAGTGCACAGGGCGTCCAGGGGCCTGCCTTGCTCGGTTTTCGCTCACGGACTTACCGGGTCACTGAGAGCTCCTGGTGCAGGTACTACTCTAGGCAGCAGCAGCACATTCGCGAGCACAATGGGCAAAGATCCCTGTCCTCATGGCTTTCTAGGGGGAAGTACAGCGCCAGTGAGTAAGATTATAATGTGGCACATGGTACTGGCAGGTGCTGCAGAGCAGGAAGGGGAGAGGAAGTGGCAGAGTGTGGGTCACGGCCAGGAAAGGCTTCCCTGAGAGGGTGACCAGAACCCTCGGGCGGGTGAAGGAGTGTATCATAAGGGAGCCGAGTGTTGGGCCAGCAAGAATAGCAAGGGCCAGGGCCCTGGAGTGGACCGGTCCCGGTGGGTGTGAGGACAATCAGGAGACCGGGGTGCCTGGAGCAGAGTTAGGGAGCCAGCGAGATGGGGCACTGGAGACAGATCAGGGAACGGAGGTGCAGCCGTGATGAGTTAGGGTTTTGAGGGTGTTGGTAGGGGCTTCAACTTTTACTGAGTGAGTCGGAAAACCACCGGGGCTGTGAGCAGAAGGGCGATACGGTCTGATTTATGGTTTAAAAGACTCACTTGGGGCTGCTGTGCTTATTGTCCATAGACTGTAGGGCAGTGGTTCTCAACCTTCCTAACGCCACCACCCTTTAATACAGTTCCTCATGTTGTGGTGACCCCCAACCATAAAATTATTATTACTTTTTATTTATTTTTTTATCCTCATCCGAGGACATTCTTCCATCCTTTGCACAGACAGAGTGGGAGGGAGAGAGAGGAAGAGAGAGAGAGGGAAACATCGATGCGAAAGGGACACATCGAGTGGCTGCCACCCGCACAACCAACCAGGGCCGGGGACAAACTGCAACCGAGGTACGTGCCCTTAGCGGGAACCGAACCCGGGTCTCTCCGGACCGCAGGCGGACGCTCTAACCGCTGAGCCAAACCGGCCAGGGCCCAACCATAAAATTATTTTTGTTGCTACTTCATAACTGTAATTTTGCTACTGTTGTGTCTTAGGCGACCCCTGTGAAAGGCGACCCCAGAGGGGTTGCGACCCACAGGTTGGAACCGCTTCTTTGGGGGTAACGGTAGAAGAGAGATCAGTTACAAAGCTTTGCAGTGATCAAGATCATTCATTTGCTAAATATTTATTGAGCACTTGCTGTGTGCCATGGGCTCTTCTGGGAGCTGGGGAGATGGTAGTGAACAAATCAGCTTCCCGCTTTCCGGAGTTAGCTTTTTACTAGGAGGAGACAGAGGAATAAGTAAACACATGAATAACAAGCTGATTTCTAATAGCGATAAATGGTTCCAAGGAAACAAGGCAGGATGGTCTGTTCTAACGGGGTCCCTGTTCTCTGCCTGTGGGGACAGAAGCCCATTCTGGAGCCCCCCTACATTGAAGCCCACCATCGAGTCTGTACCTACAACGAGACCAAACAGGTGACCGTCAAGCTGCCCAACTGTGCCCCGGGAGTCGACCCTTTCTACACCTACCCCGTGGCTGTCCGCTGCGACTGCGGGGCCTGCTCCACTGCCACCACCGAGTGTGAGACCATCTAAGCTGACGCGGCCTGCAGACCACAGATGACAGCTGAGCCTCGCAGACCCACCGGCCCGGCAGACAGCAGCTGTTCCCCCGGATTCCAGGACTGTTTAATGGAGCACACCTGCGGAGGAGGCTCCCTGGGTCCCCTAGCACACCTGCGGAGGAGGCTCCCTGGGTCCCCTAGCTCCGCTCCGGCCCCAGTCCCGGGGGCCGCATACAGCTAATCGCGCAAACAACACTGGTGCCTTCACTAAAATACCCTCTCTGATTCACACGCCTGCAAATTAATTTTTCTTTACCTTGAAGCTCAGAACATAATTTGTAGAGCACCATTGCCCTCCAGTTTGGATTTATAGTGTGCCCATGGTTTAAATACATTGGGCGCAATTCGGAAATGGGGCTAGAAAGTCTTTAAATTCTCATGTCCTCCTTGACGACTGGTCTCCAACAAGATCTATGACCAAAGGGCCAGAAGTCGATAAAACCAATGCTTTCGTCCTCATGCCCCCGCCCCGCTCCGCCCCCAGCTGCAAGCTTCCTTGGAGAAAGTGCTCCCTTCTCCTTCCCACGAGCAGTTATCTGCCCAAGAAATAGAGACGCTCAGATTCTAAAAGGCAGGGGATTAGCAGCTCAGATCGAAAGGAGTCTGGAGCTGGGCGATTCTTCTTCCAAGTAAAATTCCCTAAGTCCCCTTACGATCCTTAATAAAGATGTCCTTTTAAAATTAAAATCTCAGAAAAAAAAATGTAATTACAGTTATCATTTACACTTAAAAACTTACAAAATTAAACTTCCGTGTCTAGACTCATGTGATGCTCTCCCAAAGCTATGCCCAAAATGATGAATCGCAAATATTCTTTCCCATTTAGCACATTTTAACTTGAAACTGTAATTTTTTTAAACTCAGAAATTTTACAGGTGTGTAAGGGGTAAGACTGGATTGCTGGCTCAGGGTGTGTCTGTGATTGTCTAGCTTTTGCCTTCTCTAAGACCTTATAGCAGCTGATTCTCTGTGACTCCGTTTAAAACTCTAATGCTGTTCAAGTGCCTTTAATTCTGACATTTTGGGGGTTGAAATGAACCTTGTTTCTTTTCTACAGTATGCCAGGAGAATCTTATTACTGCAAATAAAACATGGCTTCTGTCTTTTGAATTCATGAAAACCTTCAAAAATAGTTTTTACTACACTTGGAATAACAATAACAAGCCCTCTGTGAAATGAACCATGAGGTTATTTTCACTTACGCATTAATTTAGAATATCATGTTTAGTAAGGGACACACGGAGCTGGCTGGGTAGCCTGAGTCCCCAATGGCTCCACCTGTGTTCCTACCCTTGGTGAATCACAGCTGGGAGCCAGGGACCCTCCTCGAGTGAGGAATCCATGAGTCCTCATGGAAACAGTAAAGCCAAAGTTGGGATTGATGGTCAAGGACTGGGATGCTGAGGTGGATGTCTGGGAACAAGGAACACGCGCAAAATGCCTCCCATTCTTTACTGCAGATCTGTTTTGGGAGAAAAGAAAGTCAACTCTAACATAAAAAGTAGTTGAGAGCCTGGGGTCTCTGCTGGGAGGGTGTGGTGATTAGGGATAACACTGGGGGCACCACTCAAGTGTTTTCAACCCGTCCCTGAGAACTTCCCTCAGGGTTTTTTGAGAGAAAGGACTGCTTCTTAAGGAAAGTTAAAGGAAAAAGGGCAGAGGTGGGGAGGGCTTGCCAGGATCTGAGAAAAGACCACAGCGTCAGTAAGGGTCCCAGCAGGATACAAATGATACACTGCGGTGGGATATTCCGATGAGTTAGGGAAACCGACTAGGGCAGTGAAATGCTTCTCAACACTTGTTTAGAAGCCAAGGGCATCACCAGGCTAAAGGAACAAGAAGGGGAAGTGATGATCAGACCCCAGAGAAAACTGTAGGAGAGGGACGCACAGGGAGATGCGGCCGTCACCACAGGCCTGGTGGGGAGGGAGGTGGCACGTGCCCCAGCCTCACTCTGCTCCCACGCCCGGATATTCTGCGGAATCAAATGGGAAGGCAGAGAGTGAGGGGCCCCGCTGATTCAGTCCATAATTGTTGGCCTCCTGGGAAGCAGGTTGCAGAAGGGTGGGGAGTGGATCGTGGGGCCCATGGATAAAATCCAGCATAGCTACCTTTTGGGAAGCTTAGCCAGCCCGCCCCAGGCAGAACTGTGGGCTGTGTGAGCAGTAAGGCATGCCGTAGCATCCCAGTTACCAAGACCTCGCTGTGATGGAGTGGGATGGGATACACATGGAAAAGCAGGTATGGCTAATACAATGTCAACACCATTTGAGGGGTGTGGGAATGATGGTAATGACCAGGATGGTGGGATTATGTGCTTGTTAAATGCAATCAAAAGACTCTGGTTATGGCATGAAAGCTGAATTTGAAGAGATTCTCTTCCCCTGAAGCTGGAAATCAGGCCTAATTGGGAGAGCCGCTCAATTATTGAGAAGGCTGGACCCACCGCCCTAGCTGTTGCCTATACTCAAGTCCAGGCCTCATAGGGAAGGAGTGTGGCACCGAGACCTGGGATGGGCAGTTAGTGGAAGAGGCTGAGGTTCCCTTGCAGAAGGGGTCACCCTCCTTGCTGGAGAAGATCAGCCTTCCTTGCTTGGAGTCAAGGCTGAGGCCCCATCCCAGGAGGGTGCTTTCCATGGTAATACGTGCCCTCTTCAAACACTCCCCACAGTCCTCTTGGTTCTACTTGGTAATTAGGGTCGGTCTCAGGATGACCTGGCTGGGAAGGACTTTCCCTGTGGTGGGAGGAAGGAGAGTCTCCGTGGAAGCTGCCTCACACCTTGACCAGTGCACACGGGGGAGCTTGGGAATGGATGTAAGGGCGTCAGACTGGGAGGAGAGGGGCAGGGTGGCAGAATGTAAGACTGGAGCGAGTTTATTCCCATGGGGACCTCTCCCATGACTCGGGATCTAACGTCCTCACAAGGATCCAGTCATGTGCGGCTGGAGGACTCCTTCACGCTTGGGGAAAGAGGTGGCTTATGTTAATAAAGAGAAGACGCCAGAACTGCCCTGGAAGAGTGTTTGAGGACAGAGAGCCCAGAAAGGTAAGCCTTCAAGCACAGATTCACTACATGAAGCCGGCAGCAGGCTTTGTCCACCTGGCGGGTGCTGTGGACACTCCCGTTGATAAAGCAACACCAGGAATGCGCGGGCGAGGGCCGCGTGTCCTAGAAAAGCTGGACAGCGGCTGTCCTTTGGGACTGGGGTTGATGGCAGGAGAAACCACCGAAGCTGAGCTGCTTGGTGTGAACAAAAGTGAACGGGGTTCTGGAACAGCAGACAGGTGGTGGCGCGGCTGTGAGCGCCAGGTGAGCACCAGCTGTGACGGGCAACCGGAGGACCCGCCTCTGCGGGGTCTGCGGGGTCTGCGGGGTCTGCGGGGTCTGCGGGGTCTGCGGGGTCTGCGGGGTCTGCGGGGCCTGCGCGGTCTGCGGGGCCTGCGGGGCCTGCGGGGCCTGCCGGGTCTGCGGGGTCTGCGGGGTCTGCGGGGTCTGCGGGGCCTGCGGGGCCTGCGCGGTCTGCGGGGTCTGCGGGGCCTGCGCGGTCTGCGGGGTCTGCGGGGTCTGCGGGGCCTGCGGGGCCTGCGGGGCCTGCGGGGCCTGCCGGGCCTGCCGGGCCTGCCGGGTCTGCCGGGTCTGCCGGGTCTGCGGCTGTCCCCAGTCCACGGGGCTCAAAACCCTTTCACAGCAACTACGCATTATAAGAAGAAGAGCTATTTGTTAAAAGGAGCCCTCTGTTAGTGCTAATCGCGAACCTTTTCTTTTTCTTTTTTATCCTCACCCGAGGACATTTTTTTTTCCATTTTTTTGCACAGATAGAGTGGGAGGGAGAGAGAGGAAGAGAGAGAGAGAGAGGAGAGAGAGAGAGAGAGAGAGAGAGAGAGAGAGAGAGACATCGACGTGAAAGGGACACATCGAGTGGCTGCCACCCACACAACCAACCAGGGCCGGGGACAAACTGCAACCGAGGTACATGCCCTTAGCGGGAACCGAACCCGGGTCTCTCCGGACCGCAGGCCGACGCTCTAACCGCTGAGCCAAACCGGCCAGGGCTAATCGCGAACCTTTTCAAATTTCTCTCCTCCCCTTTCCTTTCTCCCTCTCCCTCTCCCTTTGCTCGCTTCCACAGGTATTTATTACTTCTAATTCCGTGCGAGGCACTGTGTTTGGGAAATAAAGAGATAAATAGTGCGACCTTTCATGGATTTCTGACTATAAGCAGGACACTTCACATTATTATTATTTTTTTTGTAATTCTGGTGTTAACCACTCTCATTGGCATTGTTATCGCCATCCTTCCGATGAAGGAACCAAAGCTGAGAAAGGCCAGGTAACTTGGCCCAGAACAGACAGCTGATAGACCGCGCACACTGGGTTTCTCCGACCCAGGACCAAACTCTCCCTACCGGAGCATGATGCCTTTTGGGAGTGCTCCTTCCAAGTCATCCCTGCCCAGGGAAGTCTTTACATGTACGGATGTCAGACTCTCTCATCATTGATTAGCAAGTTTGCAGTTTCTTCGGGAGGTAGCTCCATGCAGACTTGCACGTTTATTTTATTTTATTTATTTTTTTGTTCAGACAGAGCGGGAGGGAGAGAGAGGAACAGAGAGAGAGAGAAACATCGATGTGAAAGGGACACATCGAGTGGCCGCCACCCGCACAACCGACCAGGGCCGGGGATAAACTGCAACCGAGGTACATGCCCTCAGCGGGAACCGAACCCGGGTCTCTCCGGACCGCAGGCCAATGCTCTAACCGCTGAGCCAAACCGGCCAGGGCCAGACTTGCACGTTTAATGGACACTGCAGTTTTTCTCTAGTTTCCTGTATCACCTCGAGGAAGACGATGCTTTCCTTGCTGTTACTCAAATCAAAGCTCACACCAGGAGAGACTGAGGGAGAAGAGGGGCAGAGCCTCCAAGGGAAATTCAGAGACCGCTGCGGATGGAAAGTGTGTGCTCACAACTGTCTCCCAGTGACTGTGGACACTGGGTGCAGGGGAATGATGGTCTCGTGCTGTTAGGGGAGCTCCGGATAAAACAAACTCCCAGCAATTCCTTACTC